TATTATTATTATTATTATTATTATTTCAGAGATTGGTTGATTGTTGAATACTAATTTTAATTACAAAGTAAATAACATTTTTCTTATTAACTAATCTTATATGTATTAAGAAGGCACAATAGGTAGTTGCAAAGAACATGAGTTATTCTTAAATGTAATTTATCATAACTTTGATTTTTTTCCTTAAGAAAAAAAATCATATTAAGATTTGGTTGGCTATGAGACTTGCTTAATTTGTATATGAAATGCATGTCTTATGAATTGATGGGAAGCTTAAAGCCAAAAAATAGAGGCAAAAAGTGAACTCTTTTTTTAAAATGCATTTCTTTGGAGTTTTTTGCTTCTTTAATGTTGAGAAAATCATCTTTTTCCTATGAATGTTCATTTATTTTATTTATCTGATGGTAAAAATATTGTCTTATGTTAACTCACGCTCTTATAAAGGAGTATCCTCTCATATGACAATTTTCTATATTTTTTTTGTAGTTGAACTTTACTTGAGATTGTAGCCTATCATTTTAATTTGAATTGGATTTCCTCTGCTCTTTTGCAACCATATGCTTATTTTATTCAAAGTATATAAATATGTTCATATTCATTTTAATGCATTACTAAATTCATTGTTTGATATGCTTATTTATGCTTATCTATATCATGAATGATATGTATTATTTGACTAACACGAAGTCTAAATATGTATATTTTTGTGTCTTTTTATTGTTTAAATAGATATGTATTAATATTTTAATATTATTATAATTTGAAATTGTTTTAATGTAATTTTAAAAAATATGCTTCAAGCAAAAATTACTATTTGGAGGTATCTAATCATATAAAACTTATCATAATGATTATAATTATTTATAATGATATAATTTTTCATCTTTATGATGCTAATATAATTAAAATATTCATAATATGAATTTTTATTTTTAAATTGTTATTATCGTGCATTTAATGCACGGGCATTTTTACTAGTATATATAAATATATATCAATCAGAGAATTAACATACGATTATGATTATTTTTTTTGATATATCTCAATTTTACAAACAATAATAAATGTACAAAAATTAACAATATAACTTTTAAATAAATAAAACTTATGCGGAAAATAAACTAAACTTACGAATTTTGAGTTGATTCTTCAGATCCAATTCTGAATTTCTCTAACAACCCAAACATTCGGCTTTGCCAAATTTTAGAGGCCTGGGGTTCTTAATTTGTGGCATGAACCGAAATTCACGGGAGCATGCAATTTGTGGATCAAGGGCGCGAATGAATCATTTCGGCGTGGAAAAAGAAGAGATAATGCCGAGCAAAATGAATCATGGGCTTAACTATTCGTAAATACTTAATAATTTAATAAAGAAACCGGAATTTAACAATCCGATTTCTCAATTTATTACCTTAAACAATATTAAGATGCTTAATGGATTTTAAGATGGCTTAACATTATTAAATAAGCTATAATTAAATGAAATCGAAGGATGATAATTTTGTTTATATGGAAACCGGAAGATGAAAATCCGATTTCTATTGAAACTGGATTTTGATGATCCGGTTTCTATAGAAACCGGATTTTAATGATCTTGTTTCCTAAAAAACAGGATTTTTGCACTCCAGTTTTGCTCCTTTTTAAATTTTTTTACCGGGCATGAGTGAAGTCAAATCCCAACTCCTAACTACCATCATCATTTCTGAACCATCTTAAAAGATGCAACTTTTCCTCTACACATAAGAAGCGTGTGTCCATTTTACAGAGATCAACTATCATTAAAATCATATAAGCAACCAACTGCTTCACTAAACTAAGAAAAAAAAAAAAGCTTCAAGAATCCACTACGATTATCGTTTGGCTCCATTAGTCCAAATTTCCGGCTTGAAAGATAAGTTCATTAAGACAGGCCTTAATTGGGTGGGCGCAGGCGGTGGTGGGAAATATAACAGAAAGCATATCATATCTAATAATCTATAGAAATCAGAGTCTCCACCCACTCATCAAAAGGCTAGCAGTTGCTTTCACGGGTACCTTATTCTCAATCCACCTACTTGTCATAAAGAAGAGGCCATCCTCCTAAAATCCATGACAACTTTTTTCTCAAATTGCTTCTTCTATAAATCAATGTAGATGCTAATTACAGTTCTAAAATAAACAGAAATGCAGGCCTTTCTCTTCTTCTCTCTGCTTGCAGTTCTAACTTGCACTGATTCTTGTACAACTGAGATCAATTGCCTGCCTAAAGAACCAGAAGCTGGTCTACAGGCTGAGCCGCCGCCGAATGCAGAAGGAGGCAGCTCTAGTTCAGGCCATGGCTCTGGTCCCAGTGGAAGCTGGGATTATAACTGGGGATGGGGATCAGCTCCTGGGAGCGGTTGGGGTTACGGTTCTGGCTCTGCAGAGTCTCCAAGTGGAAGTGGTCATGGCTTCGGATTCGGCTTTGGATCTGGAAGCGGTTCTGACCCGGGTTCAGGTTCAGGCCAGGGGTTCGGTGGCGGCGGCGGTGGAGCTGGTGATAGCAATGGAGCTTACAGGGGAGCTCATGGCTTTGGATTTGGTTTTGGTGGTGGTGGTGTTCCAGGCTCTTGGAGGAGGAGGTTTCCATGGTCTGGAGGCGATGATGGAGATGATTGAACTGAAATCTATTTGTTTTTTGTTTGCAGGGGACATGTTAATGAAGGATGGATGATTGTGTAAATTATACTACGGATGACAAAATAACTTCGAGCATGTAGTAATGATATATGTTGCATACTTTATAGAGTTGGTGATTATGTATCTTTATGAAGCTTTAAATCATGTTTACCGTTTACGAAGTCGGACTTATGGTTTGGTTGATGTGAAATATTGAAAGCATTCATGGACAAATGGATGTGCATCTTGTGATTATTGGCATCTTCAAACTAACATTTTGTACTTCAGGGGAAGGAGAAAACCTGAAATTTAAGGAGGCCATTGAGATCATTTCATGTTGTTACTTTTTTTTTTCTCATATTTATGTTTTGACATGAAGGAAATATATTTGATTTCTGAAAAATAAGTTTTTCTTATTTTTAACAAATGTCAAATAAGATGATTTATATGATATTTGTGCATGGTGGACACCGGTAGTGGCAATGATTTATGTTTACTTTGGTTGTAGATGGTGATGATAGCAACGGTTACCCATCATAGTAGTGAGTCTATGGTTGTCAATGATGATGGTGGTTAAAGACGAAGATATGGGGTAGAGGCTCCACCTCCTCAAGAAAAAAAAAAATATATATATATGGGACAGTATC